GAGAGAGGTTAGTGCCAACGTTTGTCTTCTAAGGAATATATTTGTGGAGTGAAAAGAAACTTCATAAGGTAGGAGGGAAAGAAGCCAGAAAGAAATAGTCACAAAGAAAAACTATTTATACTTGAAAAATGCAAATGCAGTTCCAAGGATATTTGAATTGACATAAAGGCCTGGAAAATCTTTCTCTCACTGGAAAATTTGTTGGCAAAAGAGGTAGAGGTAGACCAAGAATAAGTTACCTAAACAACTTTGAACAGATGGGTGGCAGAAGAAGACCAAGTTCAGAAAGGTTTTCCAAGAGCCAAAACACGTCCAGCAATGATAACTGATTTTTCTTTCAGATCTGGCACTTGGGGAAGAAGATTAAGATAAGATTATATCGAAAGTAAGATTCTTTATGGTGAAATGGGGGAAAATGAAATGTCCTTTGTTCAAAAAAGAAAAAGTCAAGCTCTGTTCTTTTCTTGTTTAGTCAAAAAAATGCCTTTGTTTTAATTTTTAATTGTTCACAGCAAATTATTCTTAGATTTATAACTTTCAGTCCTTTTAAATAAAAAGGCCTTGAGCTAATAGATGGCAAATAACAAAAAGTGACTGATGAGTGTACATATGTTTTGTATCTGTTCAGTGCTTGAAAACCCCCCACAAAAAAGCAAACTCCTATCTAGCATTGCTGTGCTCAGTATAAGGCAATTATAGCAGAAATGGTACCTGTATGAAATAATCAGCTGCTGAATCATGCCATTTCATTTTGCTTCTCTCTTCAGAATAAAGTCAAAGAAAAAGAGAAGAAGCGTGTGCCGACAGTGAAGAAATATCCTCGAAAAACAGAATCATTTGACAACTCAGAGGTGGATGCTGAAGCCGAGAAGCAGAAAGAGCGAGATGAGGTAATTTTCTCACGCGGTTTTGATGAGCAGTGTCTGTATAATAGGGCCAATAGAACTTTTTTAGATATGGAGAATAGTACAGACTTTTAAACATTATCTAGTGTACGAATGAAAGAGAATTACTTTGACAAAACTACCGCTATAAAATGAAATGTCTGAAATAAAACTAAAATAAAGGAACGCTTCCTTTTTAGATTTCAAATATTCATCGCTGTGAGCATTTGCCTGTTTAAAAAACATGATGAACTTTGGTTCTTTCAAAAATGGGCACAGTTCTTGACTGAAAACAATCTGTTTTCAAAATATTTGGCGACTGCTTGTTTTTGAGATTGTAAGTATTCGAGTTGGAAGTCATTTCCAAAGGTCAAGGGGGTCATTGCATGAGTTTCATGCCCCTTTCATCACTGTAAGGTTAATAATAAGAGGCAGGATCTCCATATTCAATACCCCTCTAATATGAGACAGAGCCAAGTAAGAAGGGAGCCTTGCAAAGCCCTGAAACAGCCCAGTTTTAGAAACACCCAATTTGTGGTTCAAACTAGAGCCTATGTCACCATGGTCAAGTGTGTTACCAACTGAGCGAATTGTTCGCTCAGACATAGGAGAAAAAGATCGTATGTGTAAAATATTACTGAGAAAAGTGTCACGTGGAATAAGTGTTGTTGTCAATCCAATAGCTTTTGAGCATGTGCCCTTCCGCCCAGTGCCATGTAAAAAAAAAGTGGACGTCATAGACATTTTTTGTTTGGTATTGCAGCATAGGGTGATGTCTGTGGCAGGACTGAGAGGAAGTTGAGGTCTGAGATACATGCAGTTTGGGACATGTGTAGAGCAGATGTTGGACTGTTTTGTACAGGTTGATACGCAGCGAGCACATTATGGTTATTTTAATATGGTCGCTTTTAAGAACAAGCGGGCTAACCCAGATTTCGGGGGTTTCTAGAAATCTTCACCAACACTAAAACTGGGCATTGCCCTACGTTTAGAAGAAGTTTGGTTTCATTGGTGTGTATGTTTGTTTGTTTATAGAGAAAAAACTCTCCTTGTCTTTTAAAGAAACTGAACAAGGGGCAAAAACTTTACCTTCGATTTTCTCAGAACAGTATTTTTCGGGCTAGCCCCCTTGTGCTTAAAAGCGACCTATAACAAATGAAAACTGAGCTCTGACTGTGGTTTGTGTCTGACTGTGTCCTGTGTGTGTCTCTCGGTGTGTTCAGTACTACGTTCAGATGGTGCGGGACCTGTACAAGCTGCGAGACTACTACTACAACGAGTACTCGGGCATGCTGTCGGAGAAGGTGGCGGCTCAGCGAAGGCAAATCCGAGAGAGAGATCTGATCAGACAGAAACTGACAGAGAAGAAAGAGGAAGAAGAGGTATGTTAATTGTCCATTCTTTGTTGCGTGTGTCACCATACTGACTTTATTTCTTATTGCATATCAAAGTGTCTGTGGAGAGGCCTACATATTGATCAATTCAAAATAAGTTGCTGTTTAAAATATGGAGGAAGGTTGCCTCTACCATGCCAGCAATAAAAGAAAAAGAATGGCCCTGTCACTACTTAGATTTTGTTATCAGCAGGTCATCATTCCCTTGTTACTTGTGTTACTGCAGTTTCACTTTTTCATGGAATGGCCCTAATATGAAAAGAAAAAATGTCTTCATTGACGATTTTCAGAAGGGTCACGTTTTTTTTTTCTTTTTACATAACTTTCTTTGTGTTTATATATATAAAGGGCAAGTATTTTTTAAAAAAGTTTTGCACTTTCTTTCTAGGTGTTTCAGTAATCCCTCATGTTTTTGCTCTATATGTATCATGTAATGTTGCTGCTGAGTAATCTTTGCTTGGTTTACAGATACAGTCGGCACTTATATGACCTTATTGTGTTGCAAGTGCCGTAAAACTCTTACTAAAACTAAAACTAAACAGATACAGTTTACTTCAATTTCAGATATTCATCAGCCACAAAAATACTCCCATTGCTTTTCCTGGTCTTGCTGTTCTGCATCTGCTTCTGGTCTTCCCTGTTTCTGTAAAGCAATATAATTGTGGATATATATCTATAATATTATCATAATTTATGTGTATGGATATATGAGTGTTTCTTTTTTAAAATATAGGTGTTTTTATGACCTCATCGACACATATCATTAGTGATTGGACATGTGTTTATTGATTTATTTGCTAAGACTTTATGTCATGTTTTGAACTCTCCCCTGGGTAGAGAAGAGCCAGCCACCATGTGAAGAAACGACTGGAGCGACACACGCTTGACACAACGCCCGCCACTGTCAGTGTGCCAAAGACAGATCTGTATCATGTAAGTACCACTTTTCATGTGTTCTAAATGATATAACTTTGGTCATTTTTAATTTGTTGGGCTATGATTAGTATGAAAAATGAAAACTCCTCAGATTAAAAATTCCTGTGCTCAAAATTATTCTAATCAAATTTTTTGTTGTTGAAATCATGGTGATAAATAATGTTAATCTTTGGTCTCTACCTCATTTTGTAGTGACTTTGTTAAATCTCATTGTGGAAATCTTCAAAGGTTTTCCATTTCATTTGTTTGCAGTCTCATCTGTGATATAAAGGTAACTGACATCGTGTCAATCATCAGTCTTCGTCTCGTTTATCTTTAAATAGACATCCCAGCTCAAGTGCGAAGCCTGCTGGTCGCTGCAGGTTCCCCAGGCTCATGTCGAGTATTTGGGCTCCCTTCTGAGAATTGAGCCAACATTTCCTTCTTAATTATTGCATCAGTAATATAAACGTACAATATTAACTCCTGCGTCAATGTCGGACGATGATAAGTACATCGGCAGAGGAGAATATTTCTAAAGAAAATCAAAAGAATTAGAATAATCAAAGGTTACGATGACTTGTGGCTTCTGCTGTGGCCGATGAGACCAATTCTGGCAGAGAAAAGTTTGCGACATTTTCAGCATTCAATGCTCCATTTTCAATTGTGGATGTGCGCAAAATAACGGACATCCTGTTTCTTGTGTGTTTTCGTCAGATCGTGGGCCTGGAGCAGAAGCTGAGACAGCAGGGCAAGCTGAAGACGGTCAGCGACTACAACAAGTTCCGAGAGGAGATGCAAGACCCTCGCACGTTCAACGCCCAGTTCCACGGTGGGAAATTTTCAGGTACAGTTGGGAAATACCATCATCAATGTACATCTTATTTAACTCTTTCACTACCAGGGGGTTTTCCTTACCTGGACCAGGCCTTATCTGTGACCTACTTTCTTATTCTGCCTACCCTCAGACAAATTATAGATTTTGAGTTCAATTTTCAATATTAGCCACATGCATTATGTATGAAGATAAAGGGGAAATAAATACCTATCTCAACATGTTGCTAAAAATGGTCATTCTTCAGCTGTAGATTTCAGTTTCGATTATTAGAAAAGTAGGACTGGTTTTGAAGCAGAAAGTGGAGAGCTGTGAAACAGTGCTCGTGGTATTTGGTGGTGACCTCCCCCCCCCCATACACACATACACTGTAGTTTAACTATACACTCTAGTGGTTTAACTATGCACTCCCACCTCTTGTAGCAATCCAATTTGCACTGACTGGTGACAACTCTCTGCTCTGCGCCTTGACCACAACTCACGCAGTCTTCCACAGTCCTGGGCTCACGCCTCGGCCTGCCCTTGTTTTCTTCAATGTCAAATAGGTAGCCTACCGTACTCAACCACTTTCCCGAAAATCACACAGCTAACCACACACACACACACGTCACACCTCTGACTGTTCCTCGATCAACTTATGTCTTTAGGCCATTTCCAAAGGGGGGATATTAACATGTTCTTATGCACAGTAAAATTGTAAATGGGCTGATTTATGAATGTCATGTTCATAATGTGCTGGAACAAAACATAGGGGGGAATGGCTGCTTTTTCTTTCCTCATCCTTATTAAAGTCATTTTCCCTCTACTTCTTTTGTATGTTTGTCACTCTCTTGTGAACTGCTATTTCCGGGGTTCCTTGATAGTTGAAACAGACTTTGTGACGTTGAGGCTAGAGAGGTGAGCGCAGTAAGCCTGATTCCCCATTTGGACTTGTCTGTTGACATCCATCCCTTGGCACTCATATGACCTTATGCAGTTGCGAGCACTGTAAAAACCTTACTAAAACTAAACAATCAACCTATTTCCCCCGATGTTCAGAATCCCACAAGTCTCCGGGCTCCAGCGTCTACACCTCCACCAGCCAGCGAGACCCCGGCGAGATCTTCTCCCTGGCCCCCGACCCAGGGCTGGCCGCCCGTCTGGAGGCGAACCATGCTCGCTCGCTCAGCCGCATCTCGGAGAACCAGGAGGCTTCCCGCCCCGGCACACGCACAGAGACCTGGGCGATCACTCAGCAGTACCCGTCCATGTTTAAGGTAATAGACGCCGTGTCCCTGTTGTCATCCTTCATGTTTAACTCTCTATCTCCGGCGAGGCGCAGGGGTCAGAACCACTGTGCGGGTGAGCCGCTGACAGCGGCTTGGGCATATTCCTTTACGACGACTTTGACATCAAATTAGTACTTTTCGGCAATCGGTGAAAACAGGTCTCTTATACCGGAATTTCATTCATTATATGAAAAACTATCAAAATAGGTTTGCTAGTTTCGATTTAATGACCCATTTAATGACGTTTTTGTCATTTTTAGATTTAGCACCAAAAAGGGCCCTGGCATAGTGGGTTTACCCCCTCGGAGATAAAGAGTTAAGGTATCAGAGACTTTGTTCCTGTTTTCATCATTCATGTTAAAAGTAATAGAGAGCACCTCCCAAAACAACAAGATTACTATCATTTTCACTTACCTGTAAGGCTTACACAGATCTTTAATTTGATACCTACAGTATTGTGTTATGAAAATGAGGTGTGTGGCTTATTCTATTGTGTTCCTAGTATGCTTCACATTTGTCTTTCTGCCTATCTCTTCATCTGTGTTCTGTTCTGAGTAAAAAAATATTTTTAAAAAATTAATTATTTCAGTTGCATGGACTTGCTGTTTCCCATGTTTATTTTTATATCTCTCTCTCTCCAACTGCATTCCAGTATAAGGAGTTTTTAAAATCAAGTAGTACAGTATTGCTCCATACTTTTCCACATCTCCCTTCATCTCCTCATCTATGTATCACTTTTATCTTTCCATTATAAATTCTCTGCATATATTTATTCTTCAAAATTGTTTTTCGACACAAAAAAAGCATCTGACCCCCCAACTCCCCCCCACAAACTGTTGCTTTTTTTGTTCTTTTTCTTTTTTCAATTTAACCCTCCATCCAAAAGACTTTCAACACGAGATTTAGTGTCACGAAAACAACTATGCTGTACTGAAATTTTTTGCTCTTGAAAAAGAAATACAGGGAAATGACTTGATTTTCAGAAAGATGTGCGTTTTGTTTTCAGAGTCGTCGAAGCATCGGGGCAGGCCACGGGGCTCGAGTCAAGCCAGACCCACAGGCAGATCTGGACAAAAGGTTCCCCAAGGTCAGTGAGTGCACGATGACTCATTGTAGTTGCCTGTTGTGAAGTTTTTACGTTCTTGTACTGTACAAGTTTTAGAAGTGTTGAACCTGGGAACAGCTTCAAAGTGTCCATGGAAAACAGCTCTGTCACAGTGTTCTGGGATTTTTTTTTTGGCTATTTATTTTTCAGGTTTATTAATTTTTTTTAAAAAATTATTTTTTTTGTGGGGGGGAGATGGGGGTTTGATGCATTCCCACCGAAAATTGTGAAATTTTTAGATGTTTTACTTACCTTCTGCCCTATTGTTGGGTCATAAGTTGGGGAAGAGGTGTATGCTAGCAAACTAAACCTTGTCTTCATACAATGAAAGACTTTGGATTTTATCACCGTGACTCGCTCACTTGTTTGTCTCTCTCACAAATATGACTCTATCATAAGTATGACTCTCTCACCTGTGTAACCCTCTCACCTAAGTGACTCTCTCCCAATATAACTCTCTCACTCTCTCACATGCATGACTCTCTCACCTGTGTAACCCTCTCACCTAAGTGACTCTCTCCCAATATAACTCTCTCACTCTCTCACATGCATGACTCTCTCACCTGAGTGCGACTCATCTGCATGACTGTCTCTCACATGTGACTGACCCATGTGATGCTCTCTGTCCCCATGTGTGACTCTCTCATCTGCATGACTCCCCCTCCCAACTCCCATGTGCCTGACCTATTTGATGTTCTCTGTCTCCAGCTGGAGATGCCCAAGCTGCACTGCTTCACCATGAACCTGGCCCCCAAACCCCCAGACCCCGAGGAGGTTGGTCTTTGGTTCTGTCTGTCTGTCTGTTTGTTTGTTTATTTGTTTGTTTGTATGGGTGTGTGTCTCACTGGTTGTACACGTGTCTCTGTCTATTTATGTGTGTCTTTGTATGTTTTGCTTTTATATTTCTTTCTGTCTGTCTGTTTGTTTGTTTATTTGTTTGTTTGTATGGGTGTGTGTCTCACTGGTTGTACATGTGTCTCTGTCTATTTATGTGTGTCTTTGTATGTTTTGTTTTTATATTTCTTTCTGTCTGTCTGTTTAAGTGTTTTTTTTCGCATACCTTTTTGTCTGTGTGTATGTTTCTTTGTGTATGTGTGTATATATGTGTTTGTGTATTTGTCTTGAGGTTTATGTGTGTGTGTGTGTGTGTGTGTGTGTGTGTGTGTGTGTGTGTGTGTGTGTGTGTGTCTTCAAATTCTATGTGAAGAGTTTTTTTTACTCACTCTCTATAGCATGGTAAAACCAAGAAATGAATTTTTCTTGCAACAGCAATGATTTATTATTTGGTGCATTCCAAAGTGTGTGCATATTCTCGAATAATAATCAAATAAAAAAAATAATTTTAAGCTACATGGTAGGAGGGCATTGGTAGAAGTAGTAGAAGGTCCCGGTTGCTTTTTAAAAATTTATCTATCTGTAATTTCTGTCTGTTTTCTCACGTTTTCCAATCAAATCATGACCAATTTTTTCTCTCTTATTTTTTTTCCTGTGTTTCTCCACCAACTTCTTTTCTTTCTGTATGATGTCTGTCTTACTTATTCCCTTAGCGCTAATATTGACTATTCAGCTGTACACTGACAAAATGCCTTTTTCTTATTCACAGCAGTTTCGAGATAAAATGGCATTTTGTCAGCGTAACCGTTTAAAAAAGACGTTTTCCGTAATCTGAAAGCTAATTTATTTAAAAAACTAGACAGTATCAGTTTGATTTTTTTCTATACAAAAAGGGTAACTGATTATCCTCTTGATTTAGCAAATTAAAAAAAAATTGTCACCAAAAATGATAAAAGGCGTTTTGTCAGAGTGCAGAGGTATCGTTATGTTAAATTGCATCTCTTTGTTCAAACAAACAAAACTCAAACAGTGGGTGGTTGGAGGGTGCTCTGGTGTAGTTTGCTCCTTCTTTCCTATCAAACATCTATCATACAGATCTCTCCTGCTTCTTTTTTAATGTTTGTTACTCTCTTGTAACACCTCTAATCTTCAGCACTTATAAGTTATATGACCATATTGTGTTGCAAATGCTGTAAAACTCTTACTAAAACTAAAGACTGAAACAATAAAAAAAACCCATCACCACAGGTTCGCCAGCAAACAGAGTTGAGGGCACGAGAGAAGCAGCGTAAGCGAATGCTGCGCACAGTCACCAAGATGTACCAACTGGCAATGTCCAATGCGGCCACTTCGAACAGGTAGGTCAGGAGACATAATTGAGTTTAGAGACAAAACGAAAACAAAACAAAAGAAATAAGGTGAACGATGCCTGCCAAAATACCTAACCTACCCAGTTCTTTTCCCTTGGATTCAAAAGTTCTGTTGCAGTTCTGCAGGTTTCTTTTTTTCAGTTGTCTCGACTTTCTTATTCTTGTGCGATGTTGCCGAATTGACACTGGATTTGCGAGTGGTTGGAGAGTGTCAGTGGGTGGTTGGCGGGTGCTCTGGTGTGGTTTGCTTCTTCTTTCCTATCAAACATCTATCGTCCTTTTCTCCCCTTCTTCTTTTTTATGTTTGTTACTCTCTTGTAACACCTCTAATCTTCTGGCGCCCATATGACCTTATCTTATGCAGTTGCAGGCGCCGTAAAACCTTTACTAAAACTAAAACTAAACTAAGGAGAGTGTCACTATTAGGTCCAACTTCTTTTCTTTCTCTCTCTTTCTCTCTATTATTTCTGTTTGTCTGCCTTGCTTTCCCCCCCCCCCCCCCC